AGTAACAGGCTATAGTTGGATAAAAAAATACTTAAGACACAATTCTTCAACCAGGACAGCTTCTTCTCTGACATGTTCACAGGCAGGCCCCTCTCTCACCTTCAGCCTAGAGGCGATGGGTGAGTTGGTTCCCCACCTCACACACCTGATTATACTCAAGGGAATTCTGGTAACTTAGTGGGTAAGGAGTTGTGCTGCCAACTCAAAGCCAAGTGGTTTGAATCGATCAGCTGTTCTGAGAGAGAATGATGGATAGTTTCATCCTTGTGATTTGTTGTTGTTATTGTTTGTTGTTGTTAAGTGCCGTGGAGTTGCAGGTGACTCATAGTGACCCTATGAAGGAGAGTCCTCGATGCTCAGGTGCCTTTCATCCCCTCTCCAGGTTCGTAGGGTTTCTGGAGGCAAGGTATTATGGAAGTGGATACCACCCCGCCTTCCAAGCTTGTTAACATGCCTCTGGAAACTCTATGAACTTAGAGAAACAAAGATAGGCTTCAGGTCTTTTGTTCATAGGGTCACTATGAGTCATGCTCGATGGCAATCAACAACATTTCCACATAAAGAAAACCCATCTGAAGTCCTAAGTGATTCTTAAAGAAATGTGCAATCATTAAGTGCTCAGCTGCTAACCAAAACATTAGTGGTTCAAACCCACCTAGCAGAATCAGGAGAGAAAGACCAGGAAATCTGCTTCTGTGAAGAATACAGTCAAGTCCTTGAGTTACAGCTACTCTGTCACATGTTTCTATGAGTTAGAATCCACTCAGTGACACCAAACATGAACTCTGATTTTTAACAATGGATAGGACTCCTGAGACCAAAAAGTTTAAGAACCACTGGGCTAAAAGGTCCTTAAAAAGTCCTGAACACGACTGAGAGGAAGCTTTAGGATTAGGTGGGATGGGCAGGTCTGAAAAGCAGGAAGTGATAAAAGTAACACCCAAATTGCAGGTTGGTCTTGATAGGACCTAATACAATGATATAATGAGTTTGTTGTTGAGTACCATTGATTGGAACCAACCCACAGATGACTCTCTGGCAGGTTTTTAGAGGCAGTAAAACAAATGGAAGAGATTGCCTATCCTTCTCCCAAGGAGCAGCTGGTGGATTCAAGCTGCATGCCTTTGGGATTGAAGCATGGCATTTTACCACTAGGCCACCAGATCTCTCTACTATAATGAGCTTCTAGTACTGACCAGTTCTTCTTTTAACCTAAATGATCAAGTCATGAAAGTTGTCTTACTCTGAATTCCAAGAAAGTGAGGTTATTTTATTAAAAAAAATTTTATACTGATTTGTGTACAAAATTAATTTACAGTGTTTCATACATTCTTTCCTTCACATTGTGTTTCATATGATAATTTCCACACATGTCCCTTTGGCCTGCCTCCATCCTTTTGCTTTTTGAGCAATTGCTTAGGGAGCTCTGGTGGCTTAGTAGATAAGGGGTTGCACTGCCAACCCAAAGGCATATGGTTCAAATCTACCAGCTCCTCCACAGAAGAAGATGAGCAATCTCCTTCTAAGTCATTTACAGCCTCTGAAAACCCAATGGGTGTTCAGCCATGAGTTGATTCTGACTCGACAGCACATTAACACCAACAATCGTACTTGCTACTTCAGGATTATTGTGTATTTTGTTTTCCTTGGTGATCTGCTCCTGTAAAGATTGTTGCTATTAAGTGCTGTTCAGCCGACTATGATTATTATCAAAACCTTGCTCTATTCTGCCCCATCTTCATGATTTCTGCCAATGCTCAAGTCCACTGTTGCAGTCACTGTTTTCAGTACGTTTCACTGAGTGTCTTCCACCCTTTCACGGACCCTCTACTTTCCCTGCATGGTCTTTTTGTGGGAACTGGTGCTCCCTGAGAATGTGCACAGCGTATGTGAGACCAAGTTTCATCCTCCTTGCCCCTAAGGACCATCTTGGTAGCACTTCCTGCCTGGGAAGTTCTACTACTGGAGTTCTACTCTGTCCTAGATATAGTGTTGTTGTGATCTGGAATCAACTTGATACCAAACAGTGGTAATATCAGAGTCTCTGGAGGGTACAAAGAATTGTCTATTAAGTAGAAAGATTGGAGGTTTCAGTCCATGCTGGGGGACCTCAGAAGAAAGGCCTGGCAATCTACTTCTGAAAAATCAGTCATTGTGAGTCAGAACTGACTTGATGGTAACAGTACTGGAAGGGAGCTCTGGTGGTAGGCCTAGAGTCAGCTGTTTCCCCCCCACACCCCAGTGAGTACTGGTTTCTTTAACAGGAGGAAGCAATTTATAAATCATAATCTGGGCACCAGCTGTGCTGGTTGCTACTGGAATGTCATTGTTGCTAGACCCACTAGGCAGAAAGAGCCAGGCAAGATATGTGTATATACCCAGCCATGTAGACATATATATATTATTATTCTTTCTAAGCTGTAGCAATCTGTCTGTGTGTGTATTAGTGAAACACGTTGGGGAATGTACATATTTGCTTTTCATTTCTTCGCCCTCCCCCCCGCCCCCGGCCATGCTTTGTCATTGTTACGAGTCATCAAGTCAGTTCTGACTCAGTGGAACCTCTGTTTCAGCAACAAAACAAAATTCTGGTTCATCCTGAGCCATTCTCACAGTTGCTCCTAGCCTTGAGTCTATTGTTAGAGCCACTGTGTAAATGCCTCACCTTAATTAAAGCTTGAGCATCTACCAAGCATGATGTCCAAGCAGCTATAATAATGGACTTTCCCTCTCTTTTACAGATTCCAGATATTCCTCTATTTTGTATGTGCCTTCCAGAACATCTCTTGTGGCATCCACTACTTGGCTTCTGTGTTCATGGCGGTCACGCCCCGGCATGCCTGCAGGCCCCCAGGCAATGTGAGTCAGGTTCTTTCCCAAAACCTGTCTAGCTCAAGGTTGGAAGACATCTGGGCCTTGTCACCAGGACAGGAATCTCATGTGGCTGTGCGGCTGCAGGACGGCTCACTCTGGGAACTCACCAGCTGTCGCAGGTCCTGGAAGAAGGACATCCTGAACTTGGAGTATGACTACAATGACAGTAAACGTGACTTCTCATGCTCGGATGGTTACATCTATGACCACAGCAAGTGGGAGAGCACCGTGGTGACTGAGTGGGATCTAGTCTGTCACCGAGAATGGTTGGCAAAGCTGATTCAACCCGTGTTCATGCTGGGAGTTTTGCTGGGAGCTGTGATTTCTGGCTACCTTTCTGACAGGTAAAGAAGGAAATGTTTAGTGCTGTTACATCCAACTTGCCTTTTTAGGATATAGAGAATTAAGGTCACAACATCAGTCATGGTCCTTCTTCCTCTCTAAATAAGTTTGTTACATACCCTAGCTTCTGCCACTTCTGATTCATGTGACCCACATGTGTCAGAATAGAATTATGTTCCTTACTGTTTCAATGGCTGATTGGTTTTGGAAGTAGCCCTCTTTCCTTTGAGAAACTTCTAAGTGAACTTGAACTTTATCTTAGGCTGGGTTTTCTAGAGAAACAAATTCAGCAACACTAATATATAAATGTATTTACATCTAACACTCATTCATTGTTGTTCAGTTACAATTGATTCCTCAATAGCCCTCTATCTGGCTTTCAAAGGCTATCAATTGCATGGAAGGAGAAAGTCCATCTTTCTCCCATGGAGCAGCTGGTGGATTTAAACCACCTGCCTTTGAGTTGGGAGCACAGTTCCTTACCCACTAAGCCAGCAGAGCTCTCAGGAAAGGTGTATAATAGGAATGAATCTTATCTCCATAACTTTTTCAATCTATATATGGCGCAGATCATCCCAGAGGCTGGACATTATGAGGAGGAAAGTGGAGTCAGGATTGGAGGAAGACTCATCAACAACCGGTGTTATGTAGATGACACAACCTTGCTTGCTGAAACTGAGGAGGACCTGAGGAATTTGTTGTAGAAGGTCAAGGACACAGCCTTCAATATGCATTGAAGCTCTACATTAAGAAAACCAAGATTCTCACCACTGAGCCAACTGGTAGAACCATGATAGACGGAGAAGAGATTGAGATTGTTAATAGCTTCAGTTTGCTTTGTTCCACAATTAACATTTCTTGGTAACAGCAGTTAAGAAATCAAAAGATTAATTTCTCTCACAAGACCCCCTTTTTGAGGGACTTTAATTTTGCTCTTCTGCAAGACGCCAAGGCCTGTGTGGTGTGGTGTGGTGGGATCCAGAGCATCTTCCAGCCACGGCTTCCCCAGCATCTGCTAAAGGCTGCAGCCCAGCCCAGTTGCACTCACACCCTGGCCAGTGACAGAACTGCTGCCTACAATGTTGAGAGGCTGCAGTTTTAGACCACAATCCCACCCAGAGCACTAGACCCCTGCCACCTGGAGACCCCTGCTGCCCTGACACCTGGTAACCCCATTGCCCCACCACCTAGAGACTGCCCAGCTGCCGCCCCTACTGTCCAGCACCAGGAGCACCAATATCACAGGTGCTTTGGTGAAACACTGCTGTCTAGCTACCTCATGTGGGGTTTCTTAAGCTCAAGCAGAAGCCAGGGTTTCAGGAGGGCACCAGTCATCTCACTCTGGTGTACTGTAGTTCCCAAGAGGGGGCACCAATATACAGATCTTTCACAAAACATTGCCATACCCTGGGACATCATATAATTACAAAAACCTAACATCTACTAAGAAAAGACTCTCATGATGTCAAGAAAGCAGCAGTATGCCTCAGTCATCATGAGGGAAAACAAACAAACAAACAAAAAAACCCCACCACACTATTCTCCTAAAAAAGCAGACTCAATGAATGCCCCTGACAGAGAGACCCAGAAGAAATATGTTGATTTGGAGTTATTTGAATAGCCACAGAAGAAGATGCAAATTATGAAAGAAACAATGAAAGCCATTAAGAGAGCAAATACCACAGAGACAGTAATCTGAGAAAAGTATACTAATAAGGAGCAACTTGAACAACTTATGGAAGAAAATGTAAAAAAAAAAGAAGAAAGAATTGATAGCATAGGTAAAGAGATACAAGAACTTAGATATAATTAAATAAATTCTAGTTGTTTTCCTGCTTTCTTAAAAAAAGTTAATAGAGTGTCACATTGAGGACGAAAGTTTAAAAAAAAAAAAAGAAAAAGAAAAGAAAGAATTGCATTGGGGAAAATTTGCTGTCAGGCACCTTTCCAGAGCACTGAAGAGCAATGATGTCAATCTGGAAACTAAGACCTTCCAGACCATTGTCTTTGCAATTACTTGCTATGCATCAGAGAGCTGGACAATGACTAAGAATGGCAGAAGAAGAGCTGATGCCTTTGAGTTGTGGTGCTGGAGATTATTGAATATGCCATGGACTGATAAGAGAACAAACAGGTCTGTCCTAGAAAGGGTGAAACCAGGCTGCTCCTTGGAGGCAAGGATTTCTAAATTCTATCTCACATATTTTGGGCATGATTCCAGGAGGGACCAGTCCTTGGAGAGGGACATCATGCTTGCCAAGGGGAAGGGACAGGCAAAAGAAGAAGATCCTGGATGAGATGGATTGTCCCAGTGACTGGCATAATGGAGGTAGGTGTGTCAGAGACAATGAAGGTGACTCCGTATAGAGCAGGGTTCAGAGCTGTTGTACATAGGGCTGCTATAAGTCTCAAGCAACTCAAGGTCACATCATAACAAGAATGACGACAACAGCAATGGCTCATATGCTTGTAGAGATAAAGCCTGTAGATTAGACCTCAAGAGGAGAAGCAGAGCTCAAATCATCAGCAGGCAGGCAGGATCTCGCATTCCTGGCTTTGAGGCTACCAATTTTAGAAGCCAATATGTGCAAAGATGGTTGTCAGGAAACAGTCACAGACAGCTGGCTTTGGATATTGACAAGTTCAAAGTCAGAAGGTATGGTAGTCTCTTGGTTAAAATCTGGAGACTGCAAGTTAATTGAACCAGATGCCTTTTGTGAGCCTGCAAGTCATAGCAACCCTATGTACAACAGCTCTGAGTCAATTACCCCAGTCACTGAACCAATCCATCTCATCCAGGATCTTGCGCTCCTACATTGTCCCTCCACCCTCCAAAGTATACTGTCCCTCTCCAAGGACTGGTCTCTCCTGATAATATGCCCTAAGTATAACAGACAGAGCTTCAGAATCCTTGCTTCCAAGGAGCAGCCTGGTTTCATCCTCTCCAGGACGAACATGAAAGGTGACCTGACAGAATGTGGAAATTATCAAACAATATCATCAATACCACATGCAAGCAAGATTTTGCTGAAAATTATCCAGAAATTACTAGAACAACACATCAACAGAGAACTGCCAGATATGCAGGCTGGGCTTAGAAGAGGTCTTGGTACTAGGGATACTATAGCTAATGACAGATGGATCTTGGCTGAAAGCAGAGAGTACAAGAGGAATGTCTATCTGTGCTTTATTGGCTATGTAAAGGCATTTAACTGTGTGAAAGTGATCCAGATGTAGATATGACAAAAAGCCCTCTTGCATTTTGTCAAGGGAATTCTGGTGGCCTAGTGGTAACGACCATCTCTGACCACGTCAAGATGGCACGGGAAAGGGCAGGTTTCAGATCTGTTGTTCAGAGTCACTATTAGTTGTTGTTGCCTCAATGGCACTTGATAACAATAACAACAAGTAATAAGGAACTATGCTTCCAACTTACAAACAAATGGTTGGGATCTATTAGCTTCTTCACAAAAGAAAGATGAGCATTCCTTCCCATAAGATTTATCACCTCTGTCAGTCTGCTGGAGGCTCGACTATGAGCTAGTTCTGATATAATGTCATGTAACAACAATAGCATTTTTTCCAGAGTCCAAACAAAAATATCAAGCATGCCACAATCACAAGGGACTGACCCTTAACCAGTTAAGGATAGTCATAGTTTTACAGTCAAATTTTTACATATTCATGTGTATTCTTGGCTTATTAACATAAAAAAATTGACTCATTGCTGTCAAGTTGGAACCTACTCATTGCTGACCTTTGTTCAGTGAATAAGAAGAAAGACAATTTAAAACTATCAGTAATATAATAGATAGATATATATCAGAATATTATACTGTATTTAATGTGGCAGTTGTGTAATTATTTCCCGTCACCTGATAATCTAAATATTTGTGAAAAAGTTGAAGAGGGAATGCAACATCCTTTAAGATTAAAGGATAATGAGATCATCACAGCTCTGATCTGATAGAAGGAGAATTTCCTTAGGGAAAGGAATGCCCAACATATAAATCCTGAAGGGAACAGACCTTTCTCCAGAACGAATACATAGAGAGAAAGCCTTCCTCTAGAGCTGACACCCTGAATGTAGACTTCTAGCTTCCTAAACAGTAAGAGCAAGGGAACACAACATGGTTTAAAATTAAGAAGGAAGTGTGTCAGAGTTGTATTCTCTCCCCATATCTATTCAATCTGTATGCTGAACAAATTATTCCAGAAGCTGGACTCCATGAAGAATGTGGCAACAGGATCGGAGGGTGACTCATCAAACTTGCTGAAAATGAGGACACCTTGAAGCACTTGTTGTAGAAATTCAAAGCATACAGCTTTCAATATGGATTACATCTCAACATTAAGAAAACCACTGCACCAATAAGCAACATCATGATAGATGGAAAAAAGATTGAAACTGTCAACAACTTCATCTTACTTGGATCCACAGTCAACACCCTTGGTTCCAGCAGTCAGGAAATCAAGAGACATATTGCACTGGAAAAGTCTACAGCTAGGGACCTCTCTAAATTGTTGATGATTAGTGATGTCAGTTTGAGGCCTATAGTATGCCTGATTCTGGCCTGATTCAGGCCATAGTCTTTTTGATAACTTGCTATGCATCTGAGAGCTGGACAATGAATGAGAATGACAGAAGAATTGATGCCTTTGAGCTGTGGTATTGGAGAAAAGTATTGAATATCCCATGGACTGCGAACAGAACAAATACGTCTTGGAGAAAGTGCAGCCAAAGGGTTCCTTAAGGCAAAGATGACAAATTTTCACCTCACATACTTGGGCATGTTGCTAGGAGGGGCTATTCCTTGGATAGAGACATGACACTCAGAAAGGCAGAGGGTTACCAAGGGAGTAGAAGACCCTCAACCAGGTGGATTGACACAGTGACTGCTGCAGTGGGCTCCAGTATGTCAGAAGTATGATGATATAGCACAGGATAGATTAAAGTTCAGATCTGTTATTCATAGGGTAGCTATGGGTCATGCTTGATTCT